AAAAATATAGACCGAAGCTTTCTTTTGATTCTTTTTTGGCAATAATTAATTTCTAGACTAATCATCCGAAGGTAACATTCTAGGAATTTCAATGAAATTATTATTAAATTTTTATAAAAAGAGACTTTTACTTATAGGTTCAGTTCGAAAATTGAAGAAGTCTGCGAAAGTTCGAAAACAGTCGAATTTCGAGGTCTTGTGCATCTCTATCTTTATGTAACCTGCTCACATACTGAATGATCTGAAACTTTGCTAAGAGAAGGATTTCACATTTACACTATTTCGACAATGGAAAGTGAAGTATGTAAAAGTCGAAGGTACTTGAGGTCTTGCACTACGTGAATTCCACTAAGTTGCTTTTTCTCTGATCCTCTGATCCAAACGCGTTTAAGTTGTAAGAAAACGTGTTCAAACGCGTCTTTAGTGCAGAAAAACGCGTTTAGCAGTGCGTTTGGTCTAAAAAAAATGTCTGCCTGGGGCGGTGTATACAGAAATGGATTTATCATCATTCTTATAGGTCTCAAAAGATGGAGGCGTCGCCTGAAGCGTCAAAGACAACAGTTCAGCCTGCAAGTGTTCGCTTTCTTACGATGGAGAAAAATCTGCGATATCTCAACTGGAGGACAAAGCACGTGATTGGCTGCCACCTGAATTCCTGCGAACCGATCTGTGAGTGTGAGAGCCGTCTTGACACGCGAGGAACATCTACTTAAGAGATAGAATGCAAAAAAATTTGTTTAAGAAGGGAACCCAATGCCCACACCACTTTCGCCACAAATCTGATTTAACTTATGTTTAATAACCAGTTCAACGTCACCTAAAGAAAACTTCGGTACAAGACGTAAATTAGACATAGCACTCTCTTTGTATATTTTTCTAACCTTGTGTTTCAACTCATACAAGCAAATAGAAGCAATACCACATGACAGGGCAACAAAAGAACAAATTGATTTATCTTGATACGGTCAGATGCTTTGATAAGAAGAAAAAGTGCGTATAACTATCAAATGGTACATTACAGAACGGAAAAGAAAACTACAGTATTGCAGTACAACGTCAAAAGCCTACGAAATAACCATAGAATATCTTTGAAGACCAAGATAAAGTCATTTTCATGCATCCCACGCGAAAAAAACTCGACGAAATATCGGAAGTATCTATAATAGTGAAAAAGAAGTTAAAATTTGCCTGAGGTTTTCTCAAAAACTCTTTAAAATCTGTTCAAAATCTTCTTTTAGACATTCAAAAACCATTCGATTTGTTCAGTTCTTTAAACTCTATCCATAACCATATCTGGTTTTTGCGATTTTCTCCTGGTTTCGTCACTTTGAGTTTTAGTGACATCTTTGTTCATCGTCCTTGAATTAATAAGATCAAGGAAAAGTCATAGGATACTAATCAAGGAAAAGAAAAAGAGAGCTATCACGCTGATGGACAATGTGTAAAGAAAGATTACCAATTTCATAAATACCAATTTCTTTTTGTTAAAATCGTAAAATGTATGCTACTTTCGGTGAAGCAAAATCGCGTTTGTTCGAGATTTTAATTGGCGCGCCTCAGTGCAGTGTACTAGCTGCACTTTTATTTCGTCTCCACGTCCATTTTTTGCCGAGTTATTTTCCTCAAATTCTTTCACATTTGTTCGCAGACGACCTAACTATGATTTTAAAAGGAGCTTTAGAATTAAAACTTTCGCGAAACATAGCTTATTTAGAACGTCAAGCAAAAACTGTTTTAATAGCGCCGGAAAAGTTTGCGGATAACCACCTCCTGCCCGTAAATGTAAACAAAACAAAAGCTATGCTGGTTCACAGCGTAGTTGCTGTTAAAAAGCCAAACATTGAGTATAAAGGGAAAAAAATTGAATTTGTAAAATCTTTCAAATGTTTAGGGGTTGAAATTGGCACTAAATTGGGATGGGGTAAACACATTCATGTTAGAATTAAAAAAGTAAGATCAGCGTATGCGGGCCTCCGAAAACTTTTTCACACCATCCCGAAAAATGAAGTAAAAATTCGCAGAAGATTATTTTGCGCCTTTGCATTGCCCCATTTTATAAATTACATTTAAACAAGTTCTTGGAGGTATTTGAGACCGATTATTTTATTTCCGTACATGCAGTTTATATGCCAATGTATTCAATAGTGTTAGCGTTATTCGTAACATTGATATCAATATTTGACGTATTCGAAATGATTTGTAGAAAACAAGTTTCAATGCAAGTGTGACTAATGAGAATAAAAGAATATTCTGAATACGTTTCAACCTAAACGGAAGACAGAAAAATATCAGCTGCATGAGTAAAAATGAAAGAGACTACCAACCGTCGACAATGATGAATATATTTCGGGATATGATCAAAATCTTCACGTAAGACGTATTTCTTAATACCAATATTATAATCTTGCCAATATGAGGCCCAATTCATCTCTGCTAAATCAAAGCTAAATAACTAAAAGAGTAAAAATTTACAAATTGTACAGAAAGAGAGAGTGAAACTACCACGCTTGGTGTCAAACCTGCATATCAGCATCATTCATTTCATTTTGTACGGCAACGCTATTCTCACTTTGAAAATTCCATTGATGACTGGTAAAAAAGTCTAATGCTCTTACAGATTTATATATTTTGTATGATAAATTAACAAATCTAAACACGCAAATACATTAGTATGTGATGATGACAGATTAGGACACTGTTACATTGGTTTTCGTCCAGTTAAACGAACATAAATATCAAGAATGAATGCTGGTAATATCTCTTCAATCATTCGACGAGAAAAATAGTTAAATCTAAAGGTAATGCATTGTGACACAGCGATCTAATTTATCATTGAATATCAATGCATTACTTATTGTTGGTAAATGTTAAACCGGGATAAGTTATACTATTTTCAAGTGGTATTGAATTAAAATGTTCTAGACTATAGTTAACTAGCAAAAATGAAACTATAATTTAGTGTACCAGAAGGAATTATTTGTGAGGTAACATACGTATTTGGCCCCATGACACGCTTCGTTTGTTCGAACAGCAATGATAAACGACAGTATTCTTTGAACTAAACATGTACAAGGGATTCTCTCGTTGCTGCTACCTCAAAACGTCTAAGTACCAACCTACCGTTTAACTGCTGTATACCACGCAACAGATATCATCATATTGGCGACGATGTCCACTGGTACAATATCCGCTCTTGCATTACTATTGCCTAACATTGTTCGCAACATTCCTTTGCCCAACTAAACATCGAAATTACATTCGCTACCAGCTTTTTCTAGCTTATCCAACATACCGAAATAATAAGGCCAGATGGACCATTGTAATTATCAATCCAACCCTTAAAATTGATTAAAATTATCACAAAGGTAAACAGTTTTAGTTTGTACATACTGGAAACGGTTCTTTCCATGAAGCACCCACGATTGACGGCCTTATTATAGCGATTGGCAGATCAATTCCTTCCTCAGAAATGACAAATTCAGCTAGAGCTTTTGTGTATGTGTACGTATTCGGACGATCTCGGATGAGTTTAGTTGTCAGTACATCGAAGACACTAGAATCCATCCACTCGGAAGCATCTAATAATTTTTTCGGTTGAATGGAAGGTAGATCAATGACTTCAGCACAATCAGAACGATTACAGTTTGCATACGCAGTTGACACATGGATAATCGCCTGAAAAAATAACACTTTAACCAGTAGAAATTTTAGTTTTCTCTTCATACTTGCAGATTTTTCATTTTATGACATAAACTTAATAATTTTTTGACTGAATTGATATTCATTTGTATGGCTGATCTATAGTAAGACATATATTTTGTTCTAGGTTAGAAAGTTGATCGATGGTACCTCAAGGGTTCGTGAAAGCGAATTGTGGCTGCTGAATGAAAAACAATGTGACATTGTTCAATTAATGTATACTCGTCGGCAGATGAAATCCCAAAATTTGGTTCGAGAATATCGCCTTGGATCGGAATTATCTTCTTTTCAAATGCTGGATTTACTCTACGAATTGTATTAAATAACTAAGCACGAAAAGATGTATAGATCTCCCAAACAGAAGAACATTGCCGAGGTAACTAACTTACGGGACTAGCACATAACTGTTTCACTCTATCATCAACTCCTTGTCCACGCTTTGACCGGACGAGAATATAAATGTGTTCAATATCTACAAGAATAACTTTGATCACAAAGCGACAGAGTTTTCAATAGCATACCTGGACAAGAACGAACTAATTTTTCGACCAGTTGTTTTCCAATGAAACCAGTAGCGCTTGACAAAATAAACAAACAAACAAAACTAGAAAATTCAGAGAGATTTAGACAGTCTTACCCCGTGATGAAAACAGATTTTCGATGAAAGAAATCGACAATGGCACTGGTCTAAAGTACAAACAAGGTGGTATCAAGTTCTTAAAATGAGATATTGACTTACTTACTTCCGTACTAGCCGACATATTCATATCTAAAAATTTAGAGAATAATGGAATCAAATACTCATTCGCTGATTAAAACAAAAATCTCTAGCTTCCAGTATAGTATTTGCTCTCACGAAGCAACTTCTCCAAGTGGTTGATATTGTGCTCATTGATGAAGGATGTGCAGAGCTAGCCCGAAGCGGTTAGGACTTGGCGGGAGCGGTCGACAGTTATCGCAAGAAAATATTCAGCTCTGCTGAATAACAACGAAATTTATTCAGGATTGGTGGAGGATCCCCTCGGACCAACTCTTAGTATATAGTCCTGAGTAAAAGCTTAAAAGTATTTGTCCACATGACGACTCTTTCAAAAGTTATAAACTTTTTTTTGTCTGCATACAAGAGGCGACAGTAATGTGAAATTTTTTGTATTTCTCTAAGACAGCGAGGGAAGCCCTGAAATCTTTTTCCCTAACTCTACTAGTGGTCTGTTATTCAGAAAAACGTTCAACTCCCTAAATCTTATGCCCAATCGGTAATCGAAATTTTACTTAGCAGTTAAAGACGCATATCATGGCTTTTAGTTAGAGGCTTGGCCGGTCTCCTTGTAATCTTAACAGAAGAGACCGGCCCACCTTTCTTCCGCGTAGAGGTCTTCCTTTCTCTGAAAGAATATTTTACTGTTTTTGTTTTTCTCATTTTTTTAATTGATAGAATGTGCTATTTAGTATTAGTTGACAATGTCAAATAGGTTCAGCGACTTCTTCATCTAGAGCCCTTTCTTATCATACTTTAAGAACAACAACAATATGGAACAAGAAATATTGAACTCTCTAATTTGTGAAGAAAATTTTCTGTGTTTTTTCCCAATGAAGAAAAGTTTTCAAGGGTTAAAAGGTTGGATTTGTAGGTAACGCTTGTTGAAGAACCCAAAAGGTTTAGTTAAAAAAATTAATTTTACATGGTTTTCTTGTCTTTCACCGTAGTATCGATTTTCTCACGAAGTCTCTCTTAAATGTTATGTGAGTAATTTTCGTGACCTTAGAACCCTTGGTCTCTCCATCTGATATATGTCTTACACTCTTATCTTTACACGATTTTATCACATTTATAGTTGAACAGGAAGTTAATGGCAAAATAGCTGTTTTAGACTTATTATTAGTGAGAGAGCAAAATATATTTACAACAGCACGTTGAAAACCGATATTTGCGGGTTTATTGACGAAACGGGAATCACTAATGCTATTATGTTTTACTACAATCGCTTATCGGACGATTAAAATTTTGTAATGATTACGACCTGCTACGCGGCGAGTTGAATTATATTAGACAGTTTGGAACAGCAAAAGGTTATCCATCCGGTCACATCTTATGAGAGTAGATGAATGGTTTGTCTAATCCTACTAAAATAAATGAATAGGATAAAAATAAAGAACATAGACAAAGTCAGAACGAAATAATAGCTGCAAATCTAGGAATAGAATTCGAACTGCTGTTGAAAAACAGCTCCCATTGAAAAAGAGTATAAGGTGTATACACAGCATATTATTACGCTGCACGGGGTTTTAGCACAAAAGACTCTATACCGGAGAATCTGAAAGCTACTACAGTTTATTTTATCAAGCGAAATGCTCTTCCTGCGCAGCCTACTATGTTGAAAACACATTTAGTCATTTGCAAACACGAACGAACCTAAGTATTAAGGGCCAGGAAACGTGAAGTGAGAATGCTCGAAGTGAAATACTCGGACTGTAAAGTGATAAAGGGGATGAAATATCAACAGTACATTATAGTAATAACAAGTTGCAAAGACAAAAGGTACTTTTGAGATACCTCAAGAGTCAACTGCCAAAAACTATCAGTAGGCAACTAGTCTTTCAACATCTATCATGCTTGACAGGTTAAAAAAACTCCATGGCACAATTACTTTCTTTTTGGCTCTTGCTTTGACACGAACGTATGGTAACTATCAACGTAATTATCAAGAAATTCACGAGATAGATGACAGAAAAGAAACGATAGTTAACTTGATATTAGCTTTATTCTTTCAGAATACAAGCGGAAAAATATTCCATTATAGCATTCTAAAGTAAAACTATAAAAAACACAAAATTAATTTTTGTAGGAATAGAGATTCGAACCCACGAACTTGACACACATGAGCTAAATTCAATGTATTGTTCTGCGTTTATATTCTGCAGAACGACTGATAGTTAACTTACTAGTCTAATGTCACGCGTGTTTCATACATAAGTAGCACATTGTGTGATAGCTTGATATTCAAATAGAATATGAAAAGCGATCAAACTATTCGATATGGAAGTGAAAAATAATATGTACGCAACGATTAGAGAGCTGTCAACGTTGACAAAGTTACTGAAGACAAATGTTTTCTTAATGTGTGAAACAAGAAATACCAAATGTTTGCTATGCAGCTGGTGCATATGAAAATTTGATGTTTTTTTCTAGAGAAAAAGCCTTCAAGATTTTTATAGAGTCGGAAACAGCGCGTTCGATTACATTGTACGGCGCAAAGATCTCACTGAGGTACCTAAGGTTTTTTAGTTGTTGGTCTCCGCCTTGAGAGTTCGCGCTTTTCAACGCTATATTCCAACTTAGTTCATCATCAAACTTGAAAGAATGTCGCTTTTTCCTCTTTGATTTTTGTGTTCTTTTTTTTTCTTTTTCATCTGTTTCTCCTTCCGTGCGGCTATGGAGATAGATATAAAGCAAGAACGGAAGAAAAGAATAAATTTCATCTCCAAATATTTATTTAGAGAAGACCGCAGTCACTATGAAATGAGTCCATATTCTGGCAACTTGTTTTTGCTCGAAATTTGTTTACATTGTTATCTATCTTTCCTCTAAGAATATTTACAGCAAAGTAGACAACAATATATAGAGATGATGTCTTACATCATTAGTGTTAGTGTTTAATTCAGACGATGCTGGAAAATTATTAAATTGTGTGAAACAGGAGAAAGTGGTTGTCCGAAATAAATGAGGGCTGTCCGGCGTAAAGCGAAGTTCTAAATTTGAGATTTCCTCTCCAACACCAACTGCTCAACGTCTTCTATACATCGTCGGACATGTTCAGGTCCAGCAGAATAAAGGGCACTATAAGGTGTTGACTACAGGACGGGCTATATATGAGAAATACTTCCTCTATCCAGTGGCGTATATATTGTCGAATCCTAATGTGCACCGCACCGCCATAGAAAACTAAAGATAACCCCTCTTTTTTCAGACTTTTTTTAGAAATATATTTTATTTTTGAGTTAAATATTGTGCATTATAGAGAAAAGTGTCCTCTACAAAATATGATCACTCCCAGCTCTCCAAAGCCAGATACGAGTTCTATTAAAGTTTGTTACTTTACGCTGAAAAAATAATAAAATATTTCTTTACTTTCGAAACTTTTTTCTCTTAGATTCAGTACTTACTTTTGAAACAATCGGTCTTATAGAGTAAGCATTTCTTTGCAAAATGAGATGTCTTCCATCTCTTCAGTATGTTTTCCGATGGAGTTATGATCATTTTGGACATTATATCACAAATGTGACTTTTTCAAAGGCTTCCAGCAAAATGATAACTCTATCTGAACACAAGCTGAAGCTGGAAGACATCTCATTTTGCAGAGAAATGCTTACTCTACAAGACCGATTGTTTCAAAAGTAAGTACTGAATCAAAGATAAAAAAGTTTCGAAAGTAAAGAAATACGGTTTTTTCAGCGTAAAGCAACAAACTTTAATAGAACTCGTATCTGGCTTTGGAGAACTGGGAATGATCTTATTTTGTAGAGGACACTTTTCTCTATAATCACAATATTTAACTCAAAAATAAAATATATTTCTAAAAAAAGTCTGAAAAAGAGGGGTTATCTTTAGTTCTCTCTGACGGTACACCTTAGGATTCGACAATATATACATCGCTGGATAAAGGAAATTTTGCTCTACAAGCCTACATGTACCCCGTTCTGTAATCATAAATCACCGTGAAATTTATGGTCGCCTTTATGAGTTTAGCACCTAAGAATTTAAGAATGAATATTAGAATTAATAAAACATACAACTAGATATAATTCTAAAGAGGAGAAAATCGGCAAAACAAGATATAGAAACGTGTCGTAAAAAAAAACTCTATTTTGGCCTCTGCAAAAACAGTATTTTTCTTCTGTACACTAAATTCTTAGGTTCTAATTTCTACATTTTAAAAAATCATAAATTGTTAAAATCTAAAAATTCATAAATTCAAGAATAATGATTCACACATTATCGCCTATAGTTATACTGTTGAAAGAGTATGTCCATCTCCACCGCACAAGATCGCTTATTTTCAAATTTAGAACTTTTAGGTGAACCGGATATCTCTGAAAAAAATTTAAAACTGTTGAGTTCTCGAAGAACGTTTAGAGCGATAACACTGTTTCCTCCTTCAGCTGCTTTTTTACTATTTACGATTTTAAATAGCTTCAAACGTAGTTCTTACTTTAGAATGGGATGTTTGTACAGTATTTCAGTTCTTTGATGACACGAATGTACAGATATCGTCACATAGAGAATGTAAATTCAGCGGCATGCCACTACTACGATGCATAAGACGTCGTAAATAACAACTAAGATACTGATAATTTTTCTTGTACAATTTTCGTACACAAATGACACTCTTTTAGATTCGTCATTAAGCACAGATGTTAAGCAATCGTTGGAATTTATTGTTCCAAACTTCTTGGATCAGAAAGAAGCAAATCACTGACGTATTTCTGTTAAATATACATACTTAAACGTTTTTGTGTGGTTTTGTTTTTTGTAAGTATGAACGGCAGAATTCGAACGTCGATTCCTAGATTGAAATTTTATTGCAAAAACCGGCAGCTAGGCTTATTTATTAGATGCTATGCCAGTTCCACATACGTTATGAATGCTTTTTCTATAGATATCAGCATTGTCAACATAGCTATATTCTCATTATTTCGTTGTAAGTATAAAAATGTGAATTTGATTAGACACAAGTGCATTTGAGAAAACGTGATGTAAAAATCTGCG